TTTTTTTTTGGATAGATAGTCCCTTTATTGCAAGCTTTCCTTATACCCGTAATTCATGTTATAAGAGAGGAAATATTTTAAAAAAAAAGACTAATCCATTTAATCCTTAGCAAAGTTCAGTCAAAACATTAACATCAACAGCATAAACATTGACCATATCTAGCAGAGTTTTCTTTTTATTTTAAACCAAGATAATCACATTTCCATACACCATCAGTTTTTTAGAATTAAAAATGTCAAAGTGCCGAAGGCTAAGAGAAATATTGCAGTCAATTAGCAGAAAAAATGATTTATGCTAGCTAGAATTTTCATGAAGTAATTTCATTCATATGTTTGTTATGAATAAATTTTCCATTTTCCAGCCTATTCAACTTTCCTTTCCAGTTTTATCAAATTCATGGGCAACTTCAATCATATACGAAAATCATATACGAAATCAGAAAAAAAAAGCAAATTAATAAACAAACAATAATAAAATATTTTATCTCGGCTGGAAGGATTAAGTAGTGACGTGAGAAAAATTATTTAATCAAAAATTATTTAAGTAAATCTTTCTACCCTAACTTTTTCGTCATTTATTTTGCAGAAGCAGAGAATAAAACTGAAGTTATTCCAACAAGCCGTGCAAAAATTTCCACAAAATGCTGCTAGACATTAAGTATAATGTTTAATTTTTTAAAAATTTATGAGATATTTATAAGATATACTACATTTGTCTACCAAAGAAATTTGCATTTTTGATTTTTTTTGTGAATATTTGTAGCATCCATTTGTGTAGCTTTTTGTCGTTATTATTCTTTCGCTTCCTAAATACAAAGAAAAAAAGAATGAAAGGTTATTTTATTTCAGCTAAAAAGAGAGTAAACAAAAAACGAAAAAGGGAAGTGATAAAATGAGGAGAATATTAAGAATCTCCTTTTTTTAAAAAAAGAATTTTGTCGTCTAAATGTTCTCCGTTATTAAATAGGAAATAAAAAATGATTTTTAAAAAAAGAAAAAAAAGAAAAGAAAAAGGAAAGGAAAAATTGAGAACTAAGCTACTTTGATAGATTCGGATTGCTTCAAATTGGTAATTTCAGTTGAGGAGGGCTGTTGCTGTTGATGTTGTGATGATTCAAAATTTGTCGTAGCTTCAACATTTGCATAATTTTCCTCAATCATAACATCCTGCTTTTCTTGCTCTTCCGGTATACGAGCTTGATACCTGAAATATAAAATTTAATTTTAATTACTTTTATAGCGGCGGTATCAGCCAATTTTAAATTTCAATTTTCAATCCTATTTGATCAATAATGTTAATCTAATAATTTCAATATTGTTTTTCTTTCGACAAACCAACTTTTTTCAAATTAAAAAATAAAAAAAGAAACATTTATTATTCGTTTATTTTGCCATCTTAGAATCTTAAAAAAAAAAATTCTAAAAACCTTGAAATTACAATTTTTTCCTTAATATGATCAAAAAATGAGCATATATAATTAATGAAAGGTACCATTCACGATTTAATTCAAGTTGATCAAGAATGTATTGAGCATGCGGATTTACCAAATCTGCCCATGTTTCAAATAATGGATGTACGATAAAATCGA